ATGATTGCTTGCTGTGAACGAAAGAGCTCTGTTTTATCAAGTCTTAGCTTATCAATCCTTTAACGTCTTGATGTAGCTTCGCTCAATGCTATCGGTCCAGCCTGGTGCACTATGAATAGATATCAAAACATGTCAAGATTCTAAAGAAACAATAAGAAAAAAAATTATAACATGCACATAAGAAACCATACGAACTTCTGCATCCATCATCATTCTGCGAAACATAATCTGTCTTACCACGCACGTAAATTTTGTGAATTTTTTGCTAATCAATGCCTCAAGGTGTCGAATTGATTGGCTTACATCCTCCTTTCTTCACCATGCCAAAAGTGCTTCTTATGCTCCATCAAGCATTAAATGCACAGAACTTCTAAGGCTATACGGCGGCGACTTAAATACAATTAAATAATTATACTCTTACTAAATTTTCGATTGAGAATTTTGTCATTGTAGCAGCAAACCATTTCTAAAGTATTGTAAGAATCAAGTTGTAAAAAACATACACAAATATTGTAAACCCCGGCAATTAAATGGTTAATACAATCACATTGAAAAAATTCATTTAAAACATGCATGACACTGACTTTGCTTTTAAAAGCCGATTCATAACGACCTTTCAAAGTAGCACACCAAATCCTTATAGTAAACTAGAATATATAAAAATTGCAACACTTTGGACAACAAGTGATCTTGATGTAAATATTGCCCCAGTGATCTATCAATCCAACAGCCCAAATATATGAGAGCCCTAGTGAAGAGTGCGTGTGTCATGTGTTGACGAGGTCTCGATCAACTACTCACACTTCCGAGAATCCGAGTGCACAAGTGTGTGATTACGCAAGTGCCCAAGTTCACCTGATAGTCCTCGAGATTTTACATGCCACCAGTGCGCACGGGTGTAATCTCGACGGATATGAACCTTATAAAAAGAGCTCGTCCGATGTGACGGCATTCAAGATAAGCGGTTCTAATTTTTCTATAGTTTAGACAAAACAATAAGTAAATAAGGTAATATAGTGCTTAAATTTGGCGAAGGAGAAGGGGCCACTCGCACCCTGCCTGCCCCGGGCAGGTGTCCCTGATGGCACTGAGATTTTTATTCATCTTTAGTAAACAAC